ATATATATATATATATATATATATATATACCCGCAAAACACGAAATGCAACAACGAATAGATAACGGATTGGTAAGACTCAGATGAAAGCCAGTGTCCAATACAGATAAACAAATATTTGGTTCCCACGATTTGTCTTACGAAAGAGCGTGTCACGACAGGCCTTACTTCACACGGTAGGCAGCCAAGTGTTTGTACAGCAGGCGACGAACTATGATCGGGGTATAGAGTTGAGTAACCAGCAAACTGAGTGAACTGACATACCGAGCTTGCCAACGCGCGCGTTTGTGTATGACCACCGTCCGGTTTCGGTCACAGGTATCCCTCTTTGTTTTTATTGCCATCTTATGCTTCCTTTTACTGTATTCCTGAACACAGCCTGCACCAACACTCTGGACGTTCCGGAGTTTTAAGCCTCCAAGTGCGCCAGAAGCGACTTTATGTGAGTATCAAACCAAGCTGAGTGGGGGCCATCACATGACCCTGGACGTGCACTAAGGATTTAGACAACTGCGGGTTAGATATGCTGATGGCTTCAGGACTTCACCCATCTGTTCGCTCTCTGGTCGACACCGAGTACATGGTATTCAGAAGGTTGCACATTCGGATAAGCGCAAATCGCTGTATGCGCGGGGTCCATCAACGTGGTTAGATGCAACAGGTAAACACGGGAACGGATTTTGGAAATATGAAGGGATACGGTGTATAAACAGTCAAGAAAATATGTAAATATTAACAGAAAAGAAGTATAGCACAAGCAAGTTAACAGGAGTTGAGTTTGTTTGCATTGGCACTTCCGGCACACTCAGAAACACTTGAAGTAATAGATGAGAGGTGCATGTAAGCGAAGATCGGACAGACCCATCTGTTAGGAATTCAAACCCTCCCATTCTATTTCATAAGCCTCGGTATCCTATAAGTCAGTGAGAAAAAAGTCAGATAAATGCAATTGTATGGTGATCCAGAAGGCAACTGTCTGTGGCGTTCACATTCATTGAGGTGGAGGAAAATTTGAGGGTTCTGGTTGCATAACTGATCTTTGATCTCTCCGCTGAGTCACCAACGGGGTGATATCACCAGTTCTTTAGTGTGTAGTGAACTGGTGCGGCAATTGTTACATAAAACAACTGAGGGACTTGTCACTTGCTGGCGAAAATTTGTTCAAATTAACTTAGTAGTAAAGGAGTTATGGCAAAATCATGGATAGTTCTACGATTTGTTATGGGCTATATGTATCCCAACTACCACAACATGAAACGAAATTCCTGTTGAGAGCTCAGACGTAGATCAACAGCAGGGAAAAACGGCTTGCCGTGGAGCCGTTCTATGTAGAGTTGAACTGTACTACTGATCGCATTCGCTCCTGTGGTTATGCTTTCGATAGTAATAATAGTAATAATAGTAATAAATAATAATAGTACATATTCGCTCTCTCCAACCTTCGCCACTTCAAATCACGGCTTACCAGAGATATAACATCTGCAGCGTTTTTATTCAGTTTAGTTTTAATATTTTTACACAGCCACTAACGCACCGCTCCAATCCACTACACAAAGACGCACTGACGGTTGTCGAATTTCAAACTGGATTCAGCCAACATGTCGACGACTATGAGGCAGTGGTGATTAACTGGATTCTGAGTTGGAAGTCCGAAACCCAAAAGCAACACGATGTCTTCAGTATGACTAACCAGTGCAGCCTACGTAGTAAAGCATTCATGCGAACCGGGGAACTGATAGAACACTCAGGGGTGATGAGGAGGTTGGAACCTGGGTCACGTACCTCTATGGATAGTGTCCATACCGCGACGCAACGGCGAGGAGAAGGTTGTCTTAGGTTTTGAACTCACACACAAGATGGAAAGGTAAAATAAAAACGTACATAAAAAGGGGCAGCTTAACCACACCCGGTAAGTAAATTTACCTCGACATATTCCATCTCGCCAATGGCGAAAGCAACCAAATAAGATGACATCTTTGGCGAATCCTGAAACACGTGGACGGCGCATCCATCGCTCTGTTCGGTCTTCGATAACAAGGGCTACCAGGGAAATAGGCAGAATCAGGTAATTATGGGACCAAGAAGGAGAAATTCGACAAAATAAAACTGTGGCCTGACCTAAAAAATACTAGGGCAGTATACTTCCTATAAAGGTGGATCACATCAGTAATTTCACAAGGAAAGGTTAGGATATGAGCAATAAGAACGGAACTACAAAACTTTTCACCTTATTGTATAAATACCCCTTACCACAAAATCAGACAACAGATTTTGAGTATCCTCGTTATCCACATCATTACCCCCAGTAGCAGTGTAAGAAACGACGTTTATCATAGGTTGCCGGAAGTAACGGTGACCTGGTTAATGTAGCCCACCGGGATTCGGTTCATGAGCTTCCTTCTTTTTGTATTTGCGCATCATAAAATAAATCGTTCAGCTCTAACACTCTTTCGGTGCCTAGATGCCATGCCACCCGAAAGAAGCACCAGGGCTGCGGTGCTGAAAGGCTGCCCAAGGATAGACAAGAGAAGTCGAGATGCAGAGGCCGGTTTCGAACTGTAAAGGTCATTCACTAGATCACGCGTCACAAACACTCAAACCACGTGACTATTCCGGTCCCACTTGTACACTACAACTTCTCATCCATTTTTGTTTACGCAGCTATCACTTGCGTAGGCCTTCCGGCCAGTAAATTCGCACTTTAACCACTGAGCCATCCTACCCCATCATAAACCCAACAGACTACAACAGTATTAGCAATCCCATTTCCAACCGGCACATGGGAGAGACGTGAGGAACTCAGGCGTGAGGACTGTAGCAACTGCTACAAATTGAAGGCTGGCTTGGTAGCCCACCATCGGGGTTGACGCCAATGAAAGTGTTGGCACGAACGTGGTCACCCAATTGGTCTGCACTGACTGTTCTCGTCAGTTTCCGCAGAAGACTGAGCTAAATCAACCTGCACACCCCACCCATCACAATGCAGATAGGGTTGTTCGGGTGCTGGCCCCAATAAAAAATCCCAGTCACTCTGGCGCCCGGCTGGCAGGTTTCATCTGCCTTGACATGCAGACCGCGCTGCTCGTGGGATTGGAACAGTATTTCCTTGGTTTATCAATTACCAGTATCAAAACCAGGTTACCAGCAACCACAGCTGTACAAATCGCCATCTGGGGGCTCCGAGCAAACTATAAATCAGACAGCTTCAAGTTCATCCGATGGTGACTCCACGGTCCAAACAAACTCTGGAATGCAGCAGGTCACTCTTGGAATCCAACTCTGACAGTGTTGACAATTCTAGTCTTTGCTCGAGGGTTGTAGTCCGGCATCATGACATCGGAGATGGTCTTGTCGCTTCTGGACCGTCCAAGATATTTCCACAAGCGTGGAAACCTGCCTACCGACGCTATCACCAGCAAGCTTATCATGCACTGGTCAACCGAAAGCAGATACGCCGAGCCAACTAGCATGTCATCCGAACCTGTACCATCACGGGCGGAAAGATGTAGCGTCCTTTGTGCTTGGTGGGTCGTGGAAGGAACTGTACAAAGGAAGCCGCGGTTTGATTCCGGACGCCGAAAAGTACTGGGTACAGGTAGAACGACTTGGGAGCTAAGTATGAAAGCCATTACCAGCAAACTCAGCCACGCTGGTCATTGCCGCCTCCCTGGATGGGAACCCCGAGACGGGACACATCAATCGTTAGACATTGAAGGACATGACCCAGTCGCCCCCTCAATAGCGCCTGTATATCCAAGCTATTGCCTTCAATGCATAGCTCCCTTCCCAATCTCCCCACCTAAAAGTCCACTGATGACCCTGTATTTAAGCATTAATTACACCACCTCGCGCCTCCAATGCGCAAGTACCTACCCAACCTCCCAAAATCATAGGTTGACGAAATTGTGGCAGCTATAACCGCTGTACGACAAGTACGCGGTTCTTACAGCTGAGAATGGTGATGATGATGACTGGATACAGGTGCTCTCTACTACAGAACACGCATTGCCAATCAAGTCAGGTTAGAGTTTGATCAGACCCATTAAAAAAGAGGAATACGGCCCACATGGAGGTTTGGACACAGAAAGCTTCACCAGTTCAATACTAAGGATCTTGCTGGGTATTTCAACTTGTATTCATTATCTGAGGGTGGTCCATCGCAAGTATATTCTGCCGGTGTCACGCATGTTCCATCTTTTCCAAGCCAGACCTCATCAGACTGAGGCCGGCCTCCATGTCATCCATGCTCGCTCGATGCCTTCGCAAAGTGCTTACTGATCGCTGGAGACGTGGGCTGCAACCGTCTTAGTTCTAGTTTGCATTTCTACACTGAGATGGTTGTTTGGATGATACCTAGCTGATACACTCCATATTTCCTCACTCTCAAGATACCAATAACCGTTCAGCTGCAACAACCTTCCTGCGCTTAGATACTATACTATGAGAAGGTAGCGCAAGGCCTGATTATACTGTCAGGTTCCCCAGGCCTAGGTAGGAGGTATCGAGATTCTGAGGCAAGGTTCGAACTCGAGCTCACTCTTCAGCGACTGCTCCTAACCTCGGTTTGGAGTTTGTTGACATTTCGGTTCCACACGATACAACTGGCAGATCTTCCAATGCGTTTGAAGCACCATCACCACTAGTTCGATGGGTTGATGATAACGCTGTGGCAGTTTCCCCAATTCAGAGGTTCACTCTATCCCATATTGTTCATCAAGGCGATGGATGATGAGGTTCTTGGTTTGTCGAGTCCGTAAATAGGCTACCAGTTCCATGAAACCTTGCTGGACGCTTTAGCCTTTACTGACGACTGGGTCATGTCATAAAATCAGACCCGTCTTAAAGAGAAGCATGGAGCTGCTGAGGTCAAGATGGGAGAAGCTAGCATGGCAATCAACGCCCAACGGATGAAAGCAATAGTAATTTGTGGGGATAGAAAACATCGGTGTCACTTAAACTTTAATCACAGGAATGCATTAGCTGAGTTATCGGGCTGCACCCGACTGCGAACGATAAGGAAGTTTTTGCGCAGGATTCTGCCTAACACGAAACATTTTGCTTCGCCGAGGAATCTACCACTCCTCTGGGTCCGACAGACACCATGACATATTTGGGTGTCCCCTTTACTTTCAGGGGGAAAGCAGTCTGCAACCACCAACAACAGCTTCTGAAACTACTCGACGGGGTGACGCATGTCCATTAAACCCGCATCAAAGAACAAAGATCACAAGAAACTACCCAATACTAAAGCTGATACATTCGCCGACAATGTGAATGGTGTTGTTAGGGATCTCAGGCTTCCCAGTCTTAAGTACGTGCGTGAAAACCAAGGAACTAACGGTTACCGCCTGGGGTGATAGTCTGCACAACAACGTTGATGGTCGCGGCTTGCTATTCGGTCACCTCACCTATTTCGAATTGATCGATTGTGTTTCCAGAGTACGCTTTCTCGAGTATTTACCCGTGGCACCCAGCTGCGGTGCAACCTGCCGAGAGCCAGAGTGGTCATGACAACCAGGGGATTTCGTCGTGGAAACTGTGATTAACCGGAGAGTCTGGTGCATATACTACAGTCCAACTAAATCGCGTATGATGCTCAATGTCCTCATCATAATTGGGTAGCAAGGGACTTAAGAAACTTCTCCGTCATCGGGGATATACTGTCTACCTACTTTGACGTTTTTCATTACGCCTGAACTAATCGCTGTTCAGGAGTGCCGATGGAAGACGTAAGCGTGGTCCCGGATGGGCGCTGAATGAGAAGAAGCAGAAGTACGGAGCCGACTATTGTTGCTCCACCATCACTTCAACCCCAAGTGTCAGTGGTTGTTGTGTTGGTGTTTTGGTTCACGAACCAATGGTCATTTCATGTCGAGGTATCCGCTTTCCTAGGGTCACACTCAGTGGCCGGTGACTGGTCATTTTGAGCTCTCTACGTACTTACGACACTTTTACGCGCGATAGGTGGCGTTGAGCTTTCTTGCTAATGACTTTCACACCTATCCCAGTATGACAGAGACCGCGTACCTGACATGCGATTCTTGACTGCGCTTACTGCGCCTTGAGGAGTATTGTGCATTGTTTTTCTTCTTTTCATAGCTCGAAATAGCTCAGCGGTTAGGACACAAGCTTATTGACCGGAAGACTCATGATTTTAACCCAATGAATGTCTGAATCTCGACTGCTCCTGTTTAGGCTTGGGCAACCTGACAGTATATCAGCCCTCGTGCTTCCTTCGGGTGGCATGGCAGCTAGGTACCGATAGTGTTACAGCTGAACCAGTTTTTTCTTTTATAATTTTCATCAGTTTTTGGTCTTTACACATCCTTCCATGCCAAACATTCTTACTTAAGATCATCTCGCCTGACTGGAAAAAATTGATGGCACGCCATCGAATGGAACAGCAGTAGTGATGAAAAAGCCTAGGTGGGTTGTAAGTGAGACAACAACTTAGACGTGAGCTTTGTGGGAATGATGAATCGACACACGATAACGAACGAAACTGGCCATAGCGAGCCAGTCCGTTTTCGCGTGGGCAGAAAGACACCTAAGATACGTTGCGACGTTGGAACTCGGTGAAGGTAATACGCTCAGTGCACAACCACAACGATCACGCTGAGGAAGGCCTGGAGCATCGCATTATACCCCCCTTGTTATCCTACTGCTATGCAAATAATAGTTCAGCTGTAGCACTATTTTGGTGCCTAGCTGCCATGCCACACGAAGCAGGCACGAAGTCTGGGATACTACCAGGTTGCCCAAGCCTAGACAGTGGAAGTCGAGAGGCAGAGGTCGGGTTCGAACCACGGACCTTCCGGTCCGTCTCACCCTCACTGCTATGCAACAGCTTGCGAGAACAGGATTGCTGCATTCCACTTACTCATACGACTCGAATCGTATCCGGATGGAATCAAATGTCTCGTTTTCAAAAAGTCGGTCAGTTCGAAATAGATGGGCAAAGTAGACAAAAAATTAAAAATTAGGGGGAAAAACAGAAGGTTTCTAGCCCACAAGAAAAGCTGAAGTGCTTACACTCCGACAAGCTGAAGCGCGACAAAACTTTAAGACACGTGTATCAGAAGCTGATCGCCAATACGCAACGCCCCAGCAGAACAACCGGACACACCGATGGTGCGGAAGATGAGTGTTTCTCACTTACCATGTTGGATATTGCAGTCAAAGTGCTTGGGACAACAAGAGTTATGCTGAAGACGGATTTGAAATCCGGTTCATCCCAACAAGGAAACGCTCGCCGTGCGCTTGTGGGCTATGAAATAGTCGAAATCATGCATTTGGAATGTGGAACAAGCATACTTCAAAATGCGTGGCCAGCATAACCTTGTTGACACCGCTGTCATCTGTGTAGACGCTCTTGTACAATCCATTCATCTTATCACTAATCTTTCCGGTGAAACTGATGTCCAGAGTGGCCGGACCGGGCTGTGGTAAATAGCACCAATAGTTACGGAACCGATAAACAACAAACCGAACAGGGCTTATGGAGGCGGAATGACACCTTTTCCACTTCGGACTTGTGTACGATTTCGACCGCGTCTGGCATGAAAGTTAATGGCTCAACAAGGCGGACAGTAACTTACTCCCATCCAACGTAGCATGCGTCACGTTCAGGTTGGCTTGATTCAAAACGAATTCCGATGTAGCTTGAACCACCTTCAGAATGGTAATTAGCCTGACACCAACTCAAAGTGAAACCATACATCTAGTGAGATGGTCTCCTTGCCATCAAAGGTGAACGTATCAAAACAGGGTTTGAGTTGAATCACATAACGCAATGGCCGACAAAAACGAGGAAGACGTTGGAAGCTTTCAGTTAGCATTTTTTGGATTGTCTTGAAAAAAGGAAAGAAAAACCAAGGTGCTTGATGAAAACGATCTTGTTATGTTATTAGGCCATTCTAGATAAACTCCTAGTAATCACACAAATGGAGGCATTAACGGAGCAACTACGCTAGTTACGTTGTGCCATGGACGATGTTCTGAGAAAAAAAAACGAGAAACTAAACGAAACGTCTCTCAGTTTCTCCAAATGAGAACCGACACGGAGTAGTTCCCAACAGTGGCATTTTTAATGTTACTATCAAATGTTGTGGCATTTTGGCTTTAACGCTGTGTGCACTGTTGACACAAACATTCACGACTTTTAGAACCGACATACACCTGAAAAAGAGACAAGTGTTCTCACAGTAGTCGTATTTGCATTGCAACGACGTGGGATCCATCGCCGCGGATCAGGCGAAAAATCTGTCAAAAGCAAGTGGATGCCTCCCTAGGCAGGCACGTCGTATCCCGAGAACTGGTACAAAGCAGAACCTGCACAAGTGTACGACAGCGGTCCAGAGGAAAGCGCCATGGCTGTTCTTAATGACCAAGCTTTGGGACGTATTTCTCGCTCGGATACGAGACTTCGCGGGCTGCTGTCAAGAAGACGATCTCTCCTGCATACTCCAATTCGGATATATCAATATTCGCCGTAATCTGCCCGCCAATTAGCTCCCAAGAGCATTAGTCAATATCCAGTTGACGGCGTAGTCAAACACGATCGCGGTGTCATGACTATCCTTTGTATTCACATTGTCATTTCGTATTAACCACGCTTTCGCCTTCATTTTCAGCTTATGTACGTCTGTTCTTAGACAAGTAAAGCGCTATTCATTCTACGGTATTCAGTCTTGTTCTTGTGCTCAATCAGGATCGATACTCCACCTGTAACACGCGGATAATGGGCATTCGCGCTGTATACCTGTGTGAATTCTAGTTGGATCCCAGTAAACAGTTGCCTTTGCGCCGTTCGGTTATCTAGCTCAGTCAAGCTTAATGCCTGTAGGCATTAAAAAACGATGTCTCTTTGTAGTGTCACCGTATGCCCTAACAAGCTGAGAAGCATAATTTCCATCGAGAGTTATCCGGGCTCATTCGTCAAGCAGAAATCACTGACATTGTGATCCTTGCAGGCGGAACGAGTACCCAAATCTGAGCGATCGATTCGGAGTCTATGCTTGTCACATAGACAACGGAGAGTGAACCAGATCATCAGCCGTTTCTGGCCAGTACAAACTCGCAGCATAAAAACGTTCATATCGCGTAACCTGGCGGCCAACAGACGCAAATCAATAGTGGACCCAGTTGGTACATCAGCTGCCGGTGGGAAGCCAAGATTGCCGCCCCTTCTAGGGCACACAATTAGACTACAATCACGCCATGATGCGAGCACGCCGGACGGCTCGCTTCCCTTCAGGCCCTCGCCGGAGAACTACCATAGCTCAGTAGTATCGATCCGAGCTAGCTCAACTACTCTCTACAGTAAACGAACAGTGGGAGTGAGTACGGGGATGAAGCATGGTAAAGTGAAAGAAGCTGTGCTAGCGGTGTTCATTACTGCCTGTCCGACTTCTCCGATACAACCAGATGATTACCAGATACTGTCGAGTTCCCAGGAAATTCATATCAGCAGGCAACGAGTATGAGGGCGCTCGTAAGTCCCTCAAGCGCAAAATAGTGAACAGCCCAAGGAAATATTGGGAGCTTTGGTGGATATCGAAAGCTCGGGAGAAGGAAGAAGCTTTTACTACCAAAACAGTTGGTACGATTGACTGACCATAGGAAAGCAACGGCCAGCGAAAAGATAGGCGAAAAGGACAGCTCATTCACTCACAAAAACGCCGATTGGAAAGATGAACCGAACACTTCGAAGGACAATTTAGCTGACCTCCTGCAACACAACCTCTTGAGACATTATATGAGGCAGAATTGGATGTGAACCTTGACCACCCAACAAAATGAGAAATAAAATATGAAATATCTCTATTGAAACGTGAGAAGGTACCAGAAACGGATAGACTGTATCCAGCTTTCCTTAAAGAAAGAGGAGAACCCCTGGTGAGCCATCAGACAAAACTCATTAATGCGACATAGAGCGAATGAAGTGGCTTCACCATGGGGCACATGGACAGTTATTCGTCTTCGAAAATGGCCCACGGGTGCTGTGTGAATACCACCGTTGTATCAAAGGTGCTCTCTGGTCTCATCTTTCAAAGGCAACTGAACACAGGAAGAAACAGATCCATGAAAACCTATCTGGATTCTATCCTGTGAGAGGATATGTCGGCCATATTTTCACCCTTCGACAGAATCTGGAACAATGAAACTGATCCTAGCAACCAACGGTGACTTAAAAGCCGACTTTGACTGTGGACTGTCAGTAACTATATCAGTATCTATGGAGCAAAGGTGTCCCTCATAAATCCTCGACCCTCCTTATGGCACCATATGCCAACTCCAGCGGACGCGTGAGGGTCTGAAGCTGTCACCTGGTGTCAGACAAGACTGTCGTCTTTCAACCTTCCTCTTCAAGTTCGTCATTCACGTGATTTTGGAACACTCACTTATAACACCTGTGGAGTCGGAATGCTTCCAGGGTATCCGCTCAAAAATGCCGAGTACGCAGACGGTATGGCTCTTCTCAGACATGAAGCCATCGTAATGCAGACACCATTAAATAATCTAAATAATTCGGCTTCACTGACGTGCGCCTTTTGCCTGAAAATTATAAAATGCTGCTGCGAGACTGGGTGGGGTCGAACCCTAACTTCATGCTCACCAACGGACACATTAAAGTGGTAGCATTTCGTCTACCTGGACAGCTGTATCAGTGTCGGAGGTCCAGCCAAAGATGATACTTCAACCCAGGTTGAGAGGACAAGGGCAGCTTTTGTGGACTTGTATAACCAGTGGCGTCGACTTGACATCAGATTATCCGTCAAGGATGGAGTTCATAATGCTGCGGTGCACTCGATATCACTGTAGGATCATAAAACGTCAAAAGACTTTCAGCGTTTGAGGATTGATGTCTCCGGAGCACTGCCCGAGTCTGGTGGGAACGTCAGATCAGTCATGCTAAGGCAGTTCGGATGGTTCTCGGAAAAAAATAGCTCGCCTGCGATACGTGAAATGATGCTTCTTAGGTCGCGCTGGCTTGGTGGTGTGATACGTAAGCTGGTCAACCGAATTCCTCGAAGATTTTTTCACACAACCACGCGCAGGATGGAAACCAGACAGGGCTGACCAAACAATGACTCGGCAGCGAAGTGTGAGAGCCAGTATCAACAAATTCGGCTGCGCTGGACATTGTCGTCTCCTTGGATAGGGATAAGAATTCAGCCGAATTCAACGAGATGGCTCAAGTGGTCAGAGCGTGAAATCACTAACCAGAAGGTCCGTGGTTCGAACCCGACCACTGCATCTCGACTTCTCCTGTCTAGGCTTGGGCAACCTGGCAGTACCCCAGCCCTCGTGCTCCCTTCGAGTGGAGTGGCATCCAGGCACCGGAAGGGTGCCTGAAGGAAGCACGAGGGATGAGATATTGCTAGGTTGCCTAAGCCTGGATAAAAGCAGTCGAGATACAGAGGCTGGGTTTGAAACGCGGACCATCTGATCAGCAAGTTCGCGCTTTAACCACTGGACTACCTCATGTTCCCTGGATGGGGAGCCCGAGAAGGAATAGTTAGTAATGTTGTCAGCATCCTAATTATCACCATCGGAGACAGCAACATCAGTGTGCCTACTGTACAACCAAATACCCGCTGTCTGATTCCCTCGTTACTAATCTGTTGACGCTATCCAAATCCAGCAACACTTCTAAGGCTCCGCAGTGCTCCACTAGTGACGCAAGTTAGCAAACGTGATTCGGGCCTTTGATATTGTTAAACTGACTCAATCAGACACATTTCCGTCACGGCGAATACAACTAACAAGTTATGTAAAATTCTCTACAGCCTCTGGAGATTCTCCTTGAACTATGAAGTGTATGTTTAGAGATTGTGCGTTATGAAACATGACTTCGCACTCTGAAGGTGCTAGGCGCGGGCGGAAAGATGGTGTGATGGTCGTCAGTTTATTCAACAGAGCTTGCGCTGCGTTCTCGTTTTCAAAGATGAGGACGATGTTGTCTACATAATCCATATGGCAAAGTTCTCACCAGAAACAATTTGAACACCGGAATTTTGATGACCTTACAGCATTCGCATTGGACGAAAAAAGGGAATGGGAATCCTTGCCGGATACCCTTTTTCTTATAGAAGCTTTCAGAGAGCTCACCATAAACTCTCACAAACCCATATACACGTGAATATAGGGGTTGGATTAAGTTCACAAATTTCTGACGCATAGCTTGTTGAGCAAGTGTGGTTAACATCACTGATAGATCCACAGAATCGAGCGCGCCCCTCAGTCAAGGAATACCAATATTCAAGGTCACCTGTACATATGATGTTGCACTAACACCTGACGAAGTGTGATGGTGTGGTCAACGCGGCCTGTATCCGGTCAAAATCCCGCTCGACGCTCACAAGTCAAGGATTTGCATGCGGCCGTAAGACGCCAAATAAAAAAATCCAGGAGGCACGAGGGCGGGGATACTGCCAAGTTACCCGAGCCTAAACAGGGGACGTCGGGAAGCAGAGGTCGGGTTCAAAGCATGAACCTTCCGGTCAGTAGATTCGCGTTCTCAACACTGGGCTATTTCGACCCGTGAGACGCCAAAGAATCAGTGCGCCAGAAGCCTTGTTACAATGGGGACAAGTGAACACCTCCGTAGTTACCATATTCACTGTGAGTACCCTTTTAGAAAATCGGCATTATTATCGATTCACCTCAGTTGCCTAGAACGGTCTCTTTCTCCTAGATAAAAAAATAAAGAAAAATCGTTCAGCTGTAACACCCTTCCGGTGCCTAACTGCCATGCCACATAAAGGAAGCACGAGGACTGAGATACCGCCAGGTTGTCCAAGCCTAGACAGGGGAAGTCGAGAAGCAGAGGTCGGGTTCGAACCACGGACCTTCGGGTCAGTGAATTCACGCTCCAACCACTTGAGACGAGACAGACAGACTGAGGAATTCGCCGTCTCATTGAATAGAGCTGATGGAAAGTCGTCAGGGCCAAGAGTACGATGATGCTTGAGTAGACATATACACTCGCAGGTCTGAGAATTAGGGCGGGTTCCGTGTTCATAGTCCACCTTTCTGTCGAAGGTAGGTAGTTCAGATTTGAGGTAGCAGAAGGCCAACTGAATTGTTCGAAGTATTGTCCCCATGTCCGTGATTTCTGCTTTGCTGAGTGTTAGAGAGCTATTCTGGTCCCAGTTAGTTTCGCTGATAAGAGGCTTCCAAGGACTAGACGAACGAATCAGGTGCAACAGCCTGTAAACCTTCTCAGCACTTTACT